TGAACCGGCACTGGTCGAACATATGTATCATCTCATGCACCATCGCATTCTCCATGTGCGCGTCCCCAAAGAAAACGCCCTGGCACAAAACAATGACACCCTTTTCGGGGTTGAAGCCGCCGGCAGAGCGTCTGTCGCAAGGACCACATATCATGTTTGATGGCGGGAGGTCGCAGCCGGCAGCGCGAAGGTGTTTGAGCATAAAGACTACGGCGGGACCTGCGAGAGTTGACCGTTGAGCGCGTACTGAAGGAAGTAGGACGCACTTCGCTCCATGAAGCGAAGTTTTTTCTCCTCGCAAGTCTGGCGAGTCTTGTCCAGGAGATATTCCAGTCTTTCATCCTCGGTGACGCCGAATCCAGTAGCGAGCATCGCGTTTCTCCGCCATCGTTCAAAGGAAGAGAGCGGTTTCGGTTTGGGCTCCGAATCCGGAGAAGACATGCTTTGTCACGTGCATCACAATCCCTTCTGCTTGACCACCACCACCATGCCCGCGACTCCCCTTGTTGACTCCACAAACGCTCTCAAACGGACCCGTTCCCGTTGTGATTTCAAGGGGCCTGCACACAAGAGGCAGTGCTCAGATGACCGCAAACCGCGGTCTCGTTCCGTTGAAGGTATGTGTTCTCTCTACGCGTCAGAGACATTTATACTGAGCGCATGAAGATGATATACCTCTGGGCGAACTAGAGATGACACTTCGTCGCTTGGAAAAGACCGTCGATTATCCTACGCTCAAGAGGCTCACAACGATAGGTAATCAACAAACCTCGACGCGTCGTGTATCCGAATAACATGACCAAAGGACGCGACCAATGGCGCGAAATACCTCAAATGGTGCACTCAATAGTCGAACGCGTCAAACTACGCGTCGCGGAACGCTTCCAGTGCCGGAAAGGCGAGAACACCAAGATGCTGCAGGCAGAACTATACCTCGAGTGGTTGCTCGAGTTTGAGTTTGTACTCGCTGCAGTGCAGGTGTGTATATCCTCAACGCAAAATGACGCGCTTTCAACGCGTTACAGAATGTTCTACGCGCCAAAGTCCCAGTCGCGCCCGGCAAGGCACTCTTCACCATCCTCTTTCACCTGATCGACCAATACATGACCGCCGTCGACGCTCAGCAAGACGGCTGCGCGTACCGGTCATGGGTCATGACGCTTGTGGAAGAGGCCAAAGATTCGTCTACGGACGAACGCTCTGAAGAGGCTCTCGCGGACGCTGAGGCCCAACTGAAACACTTTGACACGGTCATGCGTCTCGCCCTCGCACGATACAAATCAGATTCGCGTTCCGAGGTTGGAAAGGTCGCGCCGGCGATTGGGCAGATGGAGGAGACGTTGGCTAGGGGCTGCTGTTTGCTTAGTGAGCAGACAGGGCTCGGGGCGGAGACGGAGATGGGTTTCGGTCTATTGCCCACGACTCGGAACGCGATGTTGGGATGGAAGGGACAGGTTCGTTCTTCTGCCTTTTTTCCACTGATAGCTGAGTATGCTCTACAGAGAGCGAGCCGCTGACGCGGCCAACGCGGCCAATGTATTTACAGACTCATTTATCACGTGTGGTACTACTACCTCACTTCAATACACTCATCATGCAAGCCACCCTCGCTGGAACCGTTCTCGCTCAGTCAGATGAAACAATCGTAGTTGAAGGGAATCACTATTTTCCCAATGCCTCCGTGAAGCTGGACTTCTTTAACGACTCTGAGACACAGTAAGCTTTTGAAAGAAGACGCTGGTTAGGGAAACTGACGGCTGTACTTAGCACCGTCTGCCCTTGGAAAGGGTAGGTGTTCGGCTGTCTGACCCGAATGTGTCGTTGACTGCAAGTTTTAGAACGGCGTCATACTACCACGCGACCGTGAACGGGACCACCGTGAAAGATATTGCTTGGTACTATCCGGAAACGTCCGAGAAGGCCAAGAATATCAAGAACTACGTCGCGTTCTACAAGGTTCGTCCAAGGTTTGTGTCATAACCCCCCAACTTACATTTGAAACAGAACAAAGTCACCATCGCATGAGGGTTGTACATTTATGTATTTTGTATGCAAGAAAAGCACCTCAATCTTCATCTGAATCAACGTCCATGGCATCGCCCTCGCCCTCGCCCTCGCCCTCGACATCCAGCCTCATGCTCGGAACAGAACAATACGGCACCCTGTCATTCAAGAACCGTCCCCAGACCACATCGATCCGACAGAGTCCAGACCCCGTAGCAGAAGCGAGTAGAGGCGTCCCGCCAAGCCCCGTGGCCGAGTTCCAAACAACGCGGTGTACGCCAATTTCTTTCGGCCAGGAAGCAGTGCTCGCGGGAGCGACAAAGGCCTTGTCTTTGCCCTGGACTTTTTCGTCCCGTACGGATTTGGGCTGCGTTGCGCGGTCTTGAGCCTCCAAAGGATAAAAGCGCTCCAACATGCGCAACTCTTGCGTTTTGCGGCTGTAATCCAGCTGGTAGATTTTATGCACAAAGAAAGGCTACCCATGTGAGCCAAGACAGGAGAATAATAGGAGATACTCACAACAGATCCGCCGCGTCTCGTCGACCTTAAGGCATTCGTTGTACTGCACACACCATCTGCGGAACCAACTGCCAACTGTGGATGATAATCTGAAGCGCTCAAGCTCTGGGTTCGCGGTTATATCAGGTCCGACGAGGGAACCAGACACGCACCCAAATCGGTCCTTGGGGCTCCATCAAGATATGGCCCCGGCCAAGCATACTCGGAGACACAGAGTACACTTTGACGATATTCTCGTGATCAATGGTGATGGGGCCGCCGCCAAAGGGAGAGTAGGTCATAGCGAGGATAACGTCTGATCCCCAGATTAGATGGGCGAAAAAAGCGACTATAACACACCTCTCGTCCGATTCATAACCGAACCATGGCCCTCCCTGATATCTGTGACGCACTCCAGCCCGTCATATCCCCCACTAACAATGACCGTTGGATCCGCGTCCGTACGGGGAGCGCCCGAAGGTAAGCTGGGCGGGGCGCGAATCCAAGTGAGTGCCCGAATAGCAGACTGATGCACAGTCAGGTAGTGAGAGGGGAGGAGGTTGGTTGGAAGCGTCGGGTCTAATGGCTCAAGTTAGACTGCGGATTCGTGGAAAGAAAACAATTACCCGGTCCGCTGCACTTTGCAAGCACTTGCCCAAGATGATATACAGCGATAGTACCTGGTCCAGTTTAGCCACGCTCAGGAAGTAGTTTCCGCAAATACCATTCGACGTCCCAATAGCCACCAATTCACTGTTCGCCCAGTCAAAAGACCAGCAAACCGCGTCTTCCAATTCAATACGAATCAAAGGCTCAGGGATCCTCACTAGAAAGGATTCAGTGTTCGCAGACCCTGAATACAAGGCACACACCAAAGACAGGCGTGGCTGCGTCGTGCCCCGCGGGAGTTACATCCAATGGATCGGGGACGACGTACACCGAAAACGAGCCGTCTTCAAAGGTACCACCGAGCAAGCCGAGTTTACGTGGCCGGATTTGGTCGTCGTCAATCTAGAAAAGATGAATGGATGTCTTCTGGGTTTGGTGGCGCTCACAGAATCATGCGAAGGCAAGGGACACCACTTCAAGTCGTGAGCAGGCCCACTGTCGATGCACAGCACCATGGCGCAGTTCAACACCCCCGAGTCCTCTTCACTGGGCGGCGAATCGGGATTGGTGGGGCCGAGGGTCCAGATTTGAATGCACGCAGCCGTTGGGCGCTCCACCTTGGCACCAACGTCGGGAGAGTGTGATGCCGTGGGGAATGGCGCCACGGCCAGATATTGAGTGTATGATCGACCTAGATACGATTCATGAATTATTCTCTTGGTTGACCGATATCCACCTTCTCTGTCGTCGAAATGGACGGGACACCAATCAAGCCCCCACGCTTGAGCTCCAGGATTGAATATATGAGATTTGCTCTCGGGAAAGAATTCGGCTGTTTGAAAATCAGGGAAACAATCGACTCAAGTCGGATGCGGACCCACAATTCTTTTGGCTCTTGAACATTGGGATTTCGACGCGTTTCTGATCTTGAAGCGGGCCAAAAGAACACGCGACGGGAGGGGGCGGTCGGAGGTTTCCTTCCTCGGTCGTAACGGTATCAGTGGGCAGAAAACAAGTAGCTTCTCTAGAAGAACATTGGATAAAGAAGACAGAAGAACATCGAGCGTACTCGGGAGTGAGAATTGTCCAGCCAGACTTGACTCGTATCCCTTGATGAGTGACTGGTCGTCGAGTGGCATCGGTGGCCGTATCGCCATCGTCTGGTAAAGCTTCTTTATACCAACCTCGGTCCTCGACGAGATCCCAAATCGGCCCAGGCCCGACGTTGAATCCCCACGCTTTATTGACCCGCTTCGTCACTTCAAGGCTATGCGTGAAATTATGCGTCGATGCAGTAGCAGCCGGACCAAACACAGAGTCGGGTTTCGCCGCAAGCCTCTCGACCTGCCCAACGCGCGTGTAAAGAGGAACGGCCCTGTGTCGGTGGTGAACGCTCGGCGTGGGGAGAACATAGATCTGCCTTTTAGAAGTACGCGCGATCCCAGCGCCACTACCAAGCGACGGCATAAACACATCTGAAGTTTTCTTGGCTGGTTTAGCAGGTCGTTTCTCCTTTGCAGGAGCTTTGCGCGATTTCGGGATAGGAACAGGAACGGGATCTTCTTGCTCGAGGGACTCGTCTGCATCGTCATCGTCGTCGTCTTCATCTTCCTCATCGGCACCAGCGACGGATTGAGCGGGAGGCTCAAAATCGCTGCCGCTGTCACCTTCGTCTACGTTGCGTTTTTTCTTTGAAGGCCCAGCCACGGGCTGTCCGTCTTCATCGTCCAAAGCAAGGGAATAGCTCGGCTGCGATTTTCTGGGCCGCAACGCTCGAGGCATGAAGGAACAAACACAGTACAACAACGCGTCGCATTTGATGCAGCTGATCTCGCAAGTTCACGCCCGCCCTGGGTGACTAGAGTCTTTCAAGCCCCTTCATTCTTAACTCCTTATTGGTGTAGTGGTTAACATTGGTGCTTTTCAAGAAAACTGAGAAATCTTGATCACGCACTAGCCAAGGGTTCGATTCCCTTATAGGGAATAACTTTTTCCAGGTGCGACCAAGAATTCAAACGCGTCTGAAAGTCTTTGAAAGCCTTTCTCATTATGGCGCGGCCTTTTTTCACATGTGGCGTCAGTGTGCATTTGCATGCGCCTAGAGCAAGGCCTCTTTTCAGAATCGTACTCGCTTCCTTTATAATACATTGTCATTGTCTGATAAGTTTACATATTCCTAAGTGCTCGTCGCTGGCGCAGGCTTTTGCGCAGTGGCAATCCGCTTCGCCTCCTCGTGAATATCCAGAGCCTGTTTGCTGGTCTGGGTGTAAAAGTCACGGACACGGGATCCAAATGGCGAAGACAACGCCCATGAATAATACTGGTGGAAGACCTATTCAGCACGATGAAGACCAGGCTCCACGGGGAATCGCAAGACATACCTCTTGCGCGGATTTAGAGTAGCCCTTCTGCTCGTCGACGGCGCGGACCTGCTGAATGGTCTCGGTGACCTTGCCAGAGATGGTCTTGTCGGGTCCGAGAGCCTTGGATCCGACCGTGGTGTCCACGGATTGGATGTACGTGAGGAACCTTTTGGAGATTCCTTGCTTGTTGTCCATCTCGATTGCGCGGTTCAGGATCTGGTCCGAGAGAACGTATCCCTTGGCGAGGTATTCAGCGGCAACTGTGGCGGGTGAGCATAGCCTAGATAACGACGCCCGGCTTACTTCCGGCCCGGGGCTTATCCGATTGATCGATGGGGTGTGTGGCGTCTGCATCGTGAGCGTCGTCTTGGTGGTCGACCTCAGAGGTAACAGTCAACGCGTTGCCGTCAAGGGTCCCAGTGTGGAGCTGGAGGAGATGAGCGACGAATGTAAAACCCCTGAAGGTGGCGGACCATCAACGCCGTCTTTGCGGCGGACGATTTCTCGAAATGAATTTTCGCAGTTGGCGGCGTAAATTCGATCTCATTGATCCTGTGCAAGGTTATAGAAAGCCAGGATGTGCAGCGTTCGTCTCACTTTCCGCAGAATCTGCCGGGCTATTAGAATGGATGCAGAGAGAGGGCGCAGCTTACTCAAAAAACGACTTGACGTGCTCCTCTTTAGTCGATTCGGCGATATTGGCGACGTGTACAGTGTAGGACATGGTAGAAGATATGGGTGAGGAAGAGGTTGTGTGGTGCGAGGAACGAAAGCTGGTGGATGTGGTGGAGGAGGAAGAAAGCGCTGTTGTTTGGTGACATCATCGCAAGTCATCATGATGCTCGCCGCAGTCGGCAATGACTCCAACGACGCGCGTCTTGCGCGCCGTCGATCTGCCTTATCCACGCTAAAGTATCCCGACTTGCGAGTTGACTCGAAAATGCCGCGCAAAAGGATACTTCCCGCCTTGCCTTTAGCAGTGACATCATCGCTCGGCAAATGATTTTCCTCCTTCGGCTTTTCCTCTTTCGTCCATGATTCTCACAATGAAAAACGCGTCGCTCCCGAGTGACACGGAGCAGGTCTGGGACACCTGATTTATTACCTGACTCGACAGTCTTCTTCTCATCTCCGGTGGTCGAGAGCTACCTTTTCACTCTACCCGCTCTTCCTGATCCGCATGCTCTCGTTTCACCTGAACGGCGGCGTCCAGCGAGCGAATAAGGGCTTGGTTAAAATTCGAGTCCGTGCAGAGACCCAACGAAAAATGGTTAGACGAGGCGTATATAGAACTAAGTGTGTATGTGGGCGTACGCTGTGATATCTGCTCGCGCGGAAGCAAAAAAGTTAATTATCCTAATATGGAAGCTGTCAATGCTAGAAGCCGTGATGCTGTACATAAATGCAGAAACCTTGTCTCTGCCTTCTCCCTCTACTGCGCGCCACTCCAACGACTCGCGCCGTCTCCTACGTCCACAGCCATTGTCTCTTGTCCGTTGCAGGGAGAGAGACGAGATCCGTGCGAGCCACTCGTTGGCTCTATCGCGCCACAATCGGTGTGTTCTCTCTTCGTGCTCTTTTCACCTACTCAGTGGCCATAGAGCACGTCGGATACGGTTCGCACCAAAAATTGCAGCTGCACATACACGTCCGACAGCTTGTGCGTCGTTATCTTCGCTCTTGATCTACCCGATTCTCATTGCGTGATGTAGCATTCAAAAATGGCCACTCCGGGCTCAGACTCCTTCTACCTCCACTCCCAAAAGTCCTCGTCCCCGATTGAGATCCCTGGACGTCACCGCGACCGCTCCGCGCGTCCAATTTCTCCGGAACTCATCTTTGAAATGGACCCAATGGAACCTCCTACTACATACTACCCATCGGGTCTTGCGACCACATGCACACAGGATGACCCCGAACCACTACTCTACTCCTTCCCCCGGTTCTCTGCGGAGAACTGTAATATTGTCGCTCCTCCAAAGCCACAGAGCTCTTCATCATCATCCCGCAAGGCGCCTCGGAAGTGCCCTCCGACTACTACTGCCTCCCCACCTGCGCCTCTAGATCCATACGTTCCCATTAAAGCCGTGCCGGTCCACAAAATCACCGGTTTCAAGCCAGACTTTACCGCACAAGCACCGTCTGCCATCATGAACCCAGAAGCGCCACGGGAGAATCAGCTTGCGCCGCCCCCTCGAATTTCTTCAGCATCAGTTTGGACACTTCCGGGGAGAGGCGATGCGTCCGACGACGAACCGCGTTCTTTCGAGTTGGATCTCGACTTTTCGCAGTATCTCATTCGGCGCATGGACCGACGCGCCCACTTTCCTGCGTTCCAGGCCGTGATGAGCGTGTCGGTGCGGTAGAGGCCCTTGTAATGTTCAGGTACGTCTCCGGTTCGGCCGACGCAATCGCCGCGACTTACGTGCCATCTAGCGCCGTGTTGATTTCATCCATTCCGTTTTTGCATCGTTCGACTCGTCATTCACCACATGCACGCACCCACCATAGACGGTCACTAAAACACAAACAATAGATCCGGAACCCATCATCTTGTCTTTCTAGTCCCAGCATTACCCAACCAACCCACCCCTGCAGCATTACCATTCCATTCATCATCCATTGTCGTATACATTAGCAACGCATCCATCCAACAAACACATACAGCATCGCATCCTCATGCATCTTTCGTCTCAACTTTACGCACGTACAATTGACAATCAGTATATAGCTTGCATCACCCAGAGTCGGTATAGCGAATAATTATAGTCACCTACAGAGTCCCACTTCGAGTCCGGCAGACTGGGTAGAGCAAAGTCCATGTCCGCCGGGTCAAGAGGACCCAATGAAAAGTTTCGCATCCTCGGAAGGACTAGTGGAGCTTGAAAACGCAAAGAGATGTATGGGTTCAGGCCCGGAACCGAGGGGGAACGGAGCCGTCAGGGCCAGGCATATTGAGATTATGTATTACGACGGCGCCTACTCGTGCTCTCAAACCGTCAGTGCTCTCGTTTGGAGCCAGTTGACTAAAACCGGCAGGGCCATGCATATTGAGATTCTGTATTACCTGGGTACGAAGGCGTCTAGTCATTTTTCTGTGAAGCAACGGTCAGCGGGGAACTACCTCCATGGCAAGCATCTTCAACCGAGGAACAGAGGGTAGTAGTTTATTTGCCAGTCCTGCTTGAAACAGGTTCATTAATGCACGCACCTGCCCGTCGGTCGATGAATTGCGGTGCGATGCGCCGGCGGGCGCGCACTCGTGGTGGGGCAGGGGTTTCATCATCCACTAGTGAGGGTGCGGTGCCGCATCGTGAAAGTTACATACTTGCACGATGGCCAAGTTCAACAGACAATCATCGTAGCATCGGAGCATCGCTGCGAAAGAAGCTGGGAAGCCGAGTTTTGACGCGGTAGAATGTAACTGTCGCGCCCGCGGTGAAGATTAGTTGGTCAACGTCATTTTCGTGTTGGACGGCGTCTTCTTGTTGAACTCGGTTTGAAGTTTCTTTGCCAGGTGGTTCATCATTTTTCTAGCCACTTGCGAATAGCGCGCAGCGACGCGCCGGGCGCCGTTTCGATGGAGCGCGTAAGAACGTGTAGTACTCCCCCGCGAAACACACTGATTTCATGGTGATAAATTGAGTCTTACTTACGATTCCTTCTTGCTTTGCGAAGTAATCATCTGCGTGGGAAACGTTGGATTTCCGTACGCGCGGCGGAGGATCGCTTAGAGGTGTATACGGTACGGATGAGCTCACCTGCATTCAGTTTTGATCCATCGAGCGGAGAGACAAGAAGAACAAGTGATAATCATCTTGCGTTTTAGGGCCGCCGGCATGAGCTTGGTGCCTTGTACCTGATCCCACCGACCCCCAACAAAGGACGAGTGCTGCCGAGGGTATCATATGGACGGAGATCTCTTGCAAGTTGTCCCTGGGCCTAAGGCCGAGCCGGGCACGGTATTTTGCCAAGCTTCTAAATAGGGGCTAGACGGGGAGTTCCTCGTGTCGGATCAGATGAGCTTCGAATCTTAATGAAAAAGGCGTCCAAGCTGTGTAGATACCACCCAGGAACGCGTTGCACCATCGCTCGCACTGCACGGCCAGGTGGAACTGAACCGCTGTAACGAAATCGAGTGCCTGATTTAGTACATGCAACAGCCGCATATAGGTACTTACCCAACCCTGGCGGGATTTTCACAGCGCTGGTATCACCATTCCGCCGCCGGGGTCTCGGTGTATAGTGAACGGAGCGTCGTAAGATTGGACTGATGTGGGGCGACTGCAAGATTGGTCCATCTGACGTCTCGCTCGTTCACATGAGTCTGAGACCTGCGCGCCTCAAAGTTGAATTAATCAGAGAATATAACATAAAGAGACGCGCCCGCGTCCGGAGCATCTCCCGGTGGTCCATGGCCAACTATCTGCAAACAAGTACCGAAGGGAATAGACTTGGGATCCATCTGTCGGCATTGAATGTTTAATTTGAGTTCCATATGCTGAGGGAGCCCGTTCCCCAGCCCACGAACTGCGTGCCAGTCTAGTCCAGCAGGGGATTCTGAACCGAGATTGTATAGTTGGCGGGGGTGAGAGGAGAAGGGAAAGTGGCGCATCCCGCG